TTTTTCCACCTGCACTGTGAATGTTTACATGGTGTGTTCAATAAAAACATGGTAACATTTCATTCTTTGTGTGTTTAAGCAGACTGTGATTGTCTATTGTTGTGACTTAGATGATGATCAGATCACATTTTATGACCAATTTGTGCAGAAATCCATATCATTCCAAAGGGTTCACATACTTTTTCTTGCAACTGTATTTAAGTTTAACTAACACAGAGAGAAAACACGGATCTCCTTCATAGGTGTTAGTTGAAACATCTATTGGGTGTTACTTTATATTCACATATATGTTTACAAAAAAACAAAAACTAAAGAATGACTTTTTTCCTTCATAAGCCATTGAAAAATAAAACAAAAATACACACTTTTCTGTAAAATAAATGAAAGTCCTAAATCTTAGCAAGGACGCTAAGGACGTTTTTTTTTAAACACAATTCATTTTTTAAATTTTTTTTTAAACCAAAGCATGGTTAGTGATTAAATAGGCTCAGAATATAAATTTGTCAAATTTCCATGTATGATGACTGAAATGGGCATGCCCCATATTTGACCCTGTAACTTTCCAGAACCCCAGAAAACAGCACATGTGGGTATTATTGTACTTGTGATATGTTGCTGAACAGAACTATAGGTGTTTATTGCAGTTAAATTGATGATGATATGAACAGTGAAAGAGTAGTGTTTGTATGAAAAATTAGAATTTTTCTATGTTTAATGACAAAGTGGCTACAATGTTAAGGATTGAAATGGACAAGCAACATTTTTGGCTCTGTAAGTTCCAAAAACAAACAAACATAAAACCTGTACATTGGGGCAATTGTTGAATTGTTGTACCTGTGAGGCATTACAGAATACAAATGTATTTAAGTAAAATCAGAATAATGATATTCACAACAAAAATATCAAGTAAGGGATCTATATGGTGTTTTTAACTATACATGTTTGTGTTCCTGACCTTATAGTGCTCCTTTAATGTTAAAAGGTTATATTAGGCCAAAATTCTTGTTTTGGTTCAGAAATTAGACAATTGCCTTAATACTTGGGGGCTAACCCTCCCTTATATGAATAAGGGGGTCATATTGATTCCCATTTGCCTTTTTTTGTTTTTACTTTTATTATTGGTATTTATATAGCGCCAACTAATTCCGCAGCGCTTTACAATATTATGAAGGGGCGTGGGGAGGATTTACAATAAGTGGGACAATTACACAGTGACAGAGGAACAATATGTAGATGAGGACCCTGCTCAAACGAGCTTACAGTCTAGATGAGGTTGGGTACAAATACACAACAGGGCAGCAAGGGTGACAGCCAAAAAACAAGATGGAAAAGTAGCAGAGGTGGAGGTGAGACTGGAGTATGGCTCTTTAGGAGATCAAGAGACAGATTTGGATAAGTATAGATAAGTTACTCTGGGAGTCCATAAGCATTTCTGAACAGATGTGTTTTGATGGACTTCTTAAACAATTGAAGACTAGGGGAGAGTCTAATGGGGGTAGGCAGGCTCTTCCAAAAGAAGAGAGCCGCCTTCGAGAAGTCCTGCAAGCGTGAGTTAGTAGTAAGGGTGCACGCAGCGGACAGGAGGTGGTCACCGGCAGAGTGGAGAGACCGAGAAGGGGCATAGCTATGAATCAGGTAAGAGGGACTAGAGTTGGTTAGAGCTTTATAGGTAAGGGTTAGTATTTTGAATTTTATTAATGACACGGAGGCTCCTGTTATGCTATCTCTTTCTTACTTTATTCCTCAGCAGCAAAGAGAAAAAATAACTGAAAGAGAACATATGTATAATATGAATAATATATAACAGATACAACCAACTCTGCCTAGTAACAGGGTAGCCAATCAGCTTATAGGAACAGTCCATAAATGCCTTGCTGTATACTTCCACTTCCTCTTTCTTTGCTGCTGTCCTCAGACCAGCTAAGTATAATTTTACCTCCTTATGTTGCTCTGTTATTTTGATATTGCTGACTATTGTGATTTTGATTTTCATTGCTTTCTGCAAAATTGTTTATTAATTTATTTGTTTTCTGTATTTGTTTTTTTGCTCCTTTTAAGTTTTTTTCCTGTCTGTGTCTCTCTCCCCCTTTTCTGGTGACCGGGCTCCATGCCTGTGCTGGAAATTTTACGGACACAGGCCGGCAGGGCCGGACTGGGAAAAAAATTAGAACAGTAAAAAAGGAAAAAATTCCTTAAAGAATGTAGCGCTTATACAGTAAAAAATAATATTATCACCTTTTGGTAATTGGACAAAAAATATTTTTTTCCCCTTTATCCAGGTGTCCAATAAATGGTTTATCTACAAAAGATAATCATACATAGTGCAGATGGTATATAACTGTACATTCATATATCTATATATGGTATTATTCACTCACAAACAGAGAGCTGTGGACCCAGCTCTAGTTGAAATCACTCTCGGGTCCGTATAGGTGACCCACCCCTGTTTAGGATGTACGTCTTGTCCTACAGGGAAATAAATGGACCGGAGATAGCGTAGCACAGTCTATAATAGTTAAAATAAAGATATTGATCCCAAGTGGGTACTTACAGACCAAGAGTCTAAATAGACTCAATTCTTGAGCAATGTGCAGATTAAGGGACTGCACTCCCAGATGTAAATGGATGGATGGAGAACCAAATAAAAAAGAATAAGTGAATTTATTAACACAGTATATAAAATAAATACAAATAAAATCGGATCAATGTCCAAATAAAAAGCCGGGACGCGTTTCACCACACAAGCGTAGCTTCCTCAACCGGATCGATATGCTTCAGAATTTAGACTCTTGGTCTGTAAGTACCCACTTGGGATCAATATCTTTATTTTAACTATTATAGATTGTGCTACGCTATCTCCGGTCCATTTATTTCCCTGTAGGACAAGACGTACATCCTAAACAGGGGTGGGTCGCCTATACGGACCCGAGAGTGATTTCAACTAGAACTGGGTCCACAGCTCTCTGTTTGTGAGTGAATAATACCATATATAGATATATGAATGTACAGTTATATACCATCTGCACTATGTATGATTATCTTTTGTAGATAAACCATTTATTGGACACCTGGATAAAGGGGAAAAAAATATTTTTCGTCCAATTACCAAAAGGTGATAATATTATTTTTTACTGTATAAGTGCTACATTCTTTAAGGAATTTTTTCCTTTTTTACTGTTTGAATTTATTGGTGACATTGAGGGAGTCATGAGAATGTTTAGCAGCTAAATTTATCTATTACCATTGGATATATGTCTTTCTATTGGGAACAATAAGAACTGAGTCCTTAACTCTTTCTTTTCTTGGGAAAAAAATTAGGCCTGTGCATTTTTCAATCGGAGCGGCCCCCTAAGAAGGGGGCGGGGCCAGAGAGTGTGTGTTTTGTCATCACTAATGACAAGCACGCCCCCTCTCAAAGTGAGCATGTTGGTTCAATGTGCAGAGCCCCGCTGAAGATCTCTGGCATTAGAAAAAGGCCCGGAATTTGTTCTGCGCAGCACAAGCAAATTTAATAACATGCTTGCACTGTGTTTGCTTTTAAATTGTCTCTGGTGTTTCCACAAGTGGGATACCAGAGGACAAAAGGGCCAAGAAAGTGCATGGTGCATATGTTTGGAGCCTGCTTGTGGGATTGCGTGTGTGTAGAGTGTGGTGTGGTATTGTGTAAATAGGTCAATTTCATTTGTGTTTGTGGTGTAATATAAAAGATATATTGACACTCAATGTATAAATGCCAAAAAAAAGATCCACACACCACTCTCTTAGTCCCAAATAGTGAGTATATACAATACTTAAAAATGAAAAGATGTACGCTGATGGTATTCCATGTACTGGAACCCTAGAATAACACAAAGCAGTACATAGCGTAGACTGTATATAATAATGATAATGTAGTAAAGAATAAATGAATCCACTCACGAATTCCAGAGCCGTACCAGGCTCTGTGTAAAGTGCCCCAGGGTGCCTATGCAGGCTAGATATGGAATCTTCACAAAATCCCTCAGAGGTAGGAGAAGCAGCAGAGTAATGTCAAAATAAATAAATTCAAAATAAATTTATTTGTAATAAAAATATGTAAAAACAACTACATAGGTTGTATAAAAAGGTAATATAGTATGCAAACGCGTTTCAACTCAAACTGAGTCTTCTTCAGTGCATAAACAGTTCGTCTAGCTGATTCTCTTTAAAAATGCCGCTTATCCGGCTGCCGGTCACGTGGGCGGAAGTTCGGCTTGCCGGCGTCTGACGTCACTTCCGGTTTTTCGGCACTCATACTATCGGCTTCTCTGTGTGCAGATCATTTGCTCAGTTGAAGCATCAGCTGCCATTGTATGTATGGGCAGCTCTAAGGAACTTACAGATAACAAATATATATAGATGTACAACATAGACAAATGCATACAGAAACTATGCAATAAAATTCACAAAGCTTTAGAGAACGGAAGTTACATATATTGTGTAATATAGTGTGACAAAAAGGATTATCACTGTAGCCCATATATAAAGATTGGTAGTTGTGAATGTGCAGGCACAACTAAAAAGGAATAAATAAGTATGAAAAATAGCCAAATGAAAAAAATTATATATAAATATATAAAAAAGAAAAAATTTATATATAAATATATAAAAAATATAAAAAAATATAAAAAATATATATACTGAGGAAAAATAAATAAATAAATAAATAAAAATGAATAAAAATTAAAAATAAAATGGAAATAAAAATAAATAAAAATAAAATAAAAATAAAAGTGAAAATAAAAATGAAAATAAGAGTAGAAATAAAAATAAAAATAGAGATAGAAGTAAAAATAAATAAATAATAATAAATAAAAATGAAAATGAAAATAAAAATAAAAATAAATAAAAATAAAAATAAAATAAAAATAAATATAAAAATAAAAATAAAAATAAAATTAAAATAGAAATAAAATAAAATAGAAATATAATAATATAATAAAGAAAGAAAATAATAATAATAATAATAACTATAAGAAATGAACCAACTCAAAATCTAAATTGAGATCTTTAGGGGATAAGGTGTTGAGCTCAAAAATCCACCTGCTTTCAATTTTGCAAAGCTCTTTAAAGTTATCCTCACCTCTCCAATCTTTTTTCTTTTGGGCTATAGCAATAAAACTCATAAGTGAAGGATCACTATTGTGATATTGTGCAAAATGTGCAGAAACACTGTGTTTTGTGTAGCCTCTTTGTATATTACCCAGATGTTCCATTATACGAGTTTTTAAAGTCCTTGTGGTCATTCCCACGTATTGTAGACCACAAGGACACCAAAGGAGATATATCACATTGCTAGAATGGCAAGTGAGAATTGAATTGATCTTATAATCTTTATGTGATACATTAGACATGAATTTAATATGGGTGTCTTTTTTAAATTTTGTCTTTTTATAGGCTGTGCACATTTTGCATGGATAAAAACCAAGCTTCTGATTAAAAACATTGGTACTAATTGTATTGGTTTTTATATGATTTTTAACTAAAAGAGTTTGAAGAGTTTTCGTGCCTCTATATACAATTTTTGGTTTCTCACTAATGATATTCTGGAGACTTTCATCGGTCTGTAAGATGTACCAATACTTATTAATAATTGATTTTACATGACCAGCATCACTGCTATAATCTAAAATCAAGAGGGGTTCCTCAGTTTGTTTTTTTATTATTTGTTTATCCCTGTATATTAATAAGGAGTCCCTATTTATTAATTTAGTCTCCTGTATTTGACGGTTTAAAATAATAGGGTCATATTTCTTTTCTATAAAAAATTGTTTTAGATGATTTGCCTGCTTATCATATTCTTTAATGTCACTGCAGTTTTTAAAAATGCAATTAAATTGGCTTTTGGGTACATTGCACAACCACGGGTCGTAGTGACAACTCGTGGTGTCAATGTACCCATTTACATCCACTGGTTTAAAAAAGGTTTTGGTAAGAATATGGTTATTGACAACATAAATCTCTAAATCCAGAAACTGAACAGATGTCTGACTGATATGACTAGTTAAAACAATATTTCTTTGGTTGTCGTTAAGTTTTTCTAAAAACAAGTCTAAAGAAGTTTTGGCACCCTTCCAAATAAAGAAAATGTCGTCGATATATCTGCGGTAGAGGACCAGACCCGCTCCCATGTCATCTCGACCTGGGAGGAAAGTTTCCTTCCAGCGTGACATAAATAAGTTGGCATAACTAGGAGCGAATCTGGTCCCCATCGCAGTACCGACTAACTGCAAAACAAATGAACCATCAAACCAAAAAAAATTATTAGTGAGTATAAGATAAATACTGTCTATAATAAACTGAATCTGGTCTTCAACAAATTTATTGCTCAAAGTCAAGAAATGTTGGACAGCTTCACAACCCAAGTCGTGTGAAATGATGGTATAAAGACTAGACACGTCACATGTAACTAAATAAAAATCGTCCTCCCACTGAATGTTCTGTAAGATATTTAATAACTGGGTGGATCTAAGATACGTAGGTTGTGAGGATCTAAGATACGTAGGTTTAAACCAGTGGATCTAAGATACGTAGGTTGTGAGGTGACCAACGGTTGGAGCAGTCTATCTATATACTCGGATAGTCTATTAAGTATAGAACCAATCCCGGATACTATGCGCCTTCCGGGAGGGTTTTTGATATCCTTATGAATTTTTGGGAGTATATAGAAAACTGGTATGCGACATACAGCTATATTTAAGTATTTATATTCGTGTTTATTAAGAATACCATTTTCCATACCTTTATTTAATAGTGACATATACTTTTTCTTTATTTCGGATGTAGGATCGGCTTTTAGCTTAACATAGGTGGAGGCATCGTTCAGCTGTCTATAGATTTCCGTCATATAATCCGCAACATTCAGCACAACGATACCTCCACCCTTGTCAGACGGTTTGATAACAATATTGTGGTCTTGTTGGAGATTCTTAAGGGCTTTTATCTGTGCATAATTAAAATTATCTTTTTTCGTCTTTTTATTTATTTGTCTCACATCTTTCATCACTAGTTTTTCAAAGACTTTCATTTCACCACTGATATGGTTTTTTGGAAAAAAAATGAGATCTGTCTTTTAAATTAGTATGGACAAAGATGCCATGAGCGTCATCCCCTTGTTCACTAGTGGAGAATTTGTTGACTAAAAAAGGACGCGATGGAAATTTGGAGATTTCGGCATAGGACTTTGCTTGGTTTATTCCAGCATTATTTTTATTATTACCACTGGTGTTTTCCATCAAAGGTCTAAACCTGATTAGGAATATATTGCTGATTCCTTATGAGAGGTTGTGTTCTATTAGGTCCACTAAATCTGGGGGAATTCCTAAAAGTGGACTTAGTCTGTTCCTGAGATTGAAATTTATTATTTTTATTATTGTTATTATTATACCTATTATTATGATTTACGTAATTCTTAGGTATATATATGGAGTTCGAGTTCCTAGAATAGTTTCTTTTATGTTTAGCAAATGAGCGAACTTTATCATGAGCATAATCATGCTTATCCCTAATATATTTGCTTTTTTTAACGGAGATAACCTCCTCCTCCTGTTTATCAACATTTTCTTGTACTCTTTTTAGGGAGATAGTCATTTCTTCAATCTCTGACATAGGTTGAAGTTTCTCTTTGATCTCATTAATTTCCCTATCTAATTTAACCAGGTTACGTTTTCTTTGTTGGACGGTGATGGACGCGTTGAAACGCGTTTGCATACTATATTACCTTTTTATACAACCTATGTAGTTGTTTTTACATATTTTTATTACAAATAAATTTATTTTGAATTTATTTATTTTGACATTACTCTGCTGCTTCTCCTACCTCTGAGGGATTTTGTGAAGATTCCATATCTAGCCTGCATAGGCACCCTGGGGCACTTTACACAGAGCCTGGTACGGCTCTGGAATTCGTGAGTGGATTCATTTATTCTTTACTACATTATCATTATTATATACAGTCTACGCTATGTACTGCTTTGTGTTATTCTAGGGTTCCAGTACATGGAATACCATCAGCGTACATCTTTTCATTTATAAGTATTGTATATACTCACTATTTGGGACTAAGAGAGTGGTGTGTGGATCTTTTTTTGGCATTTATACATTGAGTGTCAATATATCTTTTATCTTACATTGTGTACTTAAGGTGTTGGGGAACACTTTTTATCCCACCACTACTTGTGTGTTCCTTTCATTGTGTAAGCGCCATTCACTTTTCTATTTTTATTGCTTGTGGTGTAATATGTGTGGCTAGGGGCTGTAAAGAGTGTGTGTATAGGGGGCATAGTTTTATAGGGGATGCAGCGAGTGTGTGCATACTGGCTGAAGTGTGTGTGTATAGGTGACGTAGTGTGTGTAGGGGTTGCAGAGAGGGTGTGTTTAGAGAATGTTGTATGTGTTTGCTGACAAGGAATGTAGTGTGTGTGTGTAGGAGATCTACTGTGTAAAGGACCCAGTGTGTGTGTGTGTGTGTGTGTGTGTGTGTAGAGGATTAAGAGTGCATATAGGGTAAGGGATCTAGTGTGTATCTGGAGCGTAATGTGTGTAGTGGTGCAGTGTGAGGGGTGCTGTAGTGTGTGTGTATATATATATATAGCGCTCAGAATCCCGCGAGAGGACCCGGCGGAGCTGCTGGCTAGAGCTCCGCCGGTCCTCTCTCCTGCCTCCCTCCCTCACCTCCCAGCCTGCGGCCGCATCTCCATGCCTCTGGGCTGGTGAGGGAGATCTTTGATCTCCTCACCGGCCCATGGAGGCACACAGCGGGGCGGGCGCTCGGATAGCGCTGGCCCTGCAGGGGCTGGCAGGAGAGATCCCCTGCTGGCCTCGGCCCCACGGCCATCGCGGCCCACCGGGCATTATCCCGGTATGCCCGATGGCCAGTCTGGGCCTGCAGGCTGGGACCCACAACTACCAGGGGACACGTCTGCTGGAGCATCTTCGCTCCCTGTTTTACCCCTCCTGTTACCTCCGTGACGATCAGTCTCCCTCAACGGCACGGCTCCTCATGCCTATTGTCAGTGGGTTACTCAACCCCCTTTGTTATTCCTTTGTGTCAGTTTAGGTTAGTAGTAGGTCAAGTTTCTCCTTACTCATTGTATTCTGGGCACATATAGACACTGTCTCTCTGCACTTCACCCACTTTGCCATATATTGGTATATACTGTGGGATATTCCCCACTGTCTCAGTGATGCAGGCTAGAGCTGATGGGGCTGACAGCCCCAACTTCTCCATTATGGATTCTATGCACACCCCGACCACCGAGGAGACCGGCCTTACACCCTCTCAGGAATTCCAAGACCTAATTGATCCTTCCATGCAGAGAGCCCTGGCCTCGGCCATGGGAGCAGTATCTTCATCCCTAACCCATACTATACAACAGGCGTTAGTACAGCTTCTGGCCCCTGCTCTAATGCCCACCCCCCACCCTACGCAACATTCTCAAGCGAGTCGCAAGGCGCATGCCAAGACTAAGCACGTCTCCTGTTATAATTGTGGCACATTGTTGAAAAGAAATACAGGTGCTTTATAGTAGTAAAATATATATAGATGATTATATAAACAGTGAAAGTGCAGTTTGTGTATAAAAAAAACCACAAACAAATATGAACACTCTATCTGGCCAGGTTTTGTGCCTACAAAACAAAAAACAAAAAAAACCTAGACATGCCCCATTTGGAACACACCATGTTATCTACTTTTGCAAATGGTATGCCATCATGGAGGTAATTTTCATTCCTGGAATGCCATACTGCCTCAAAGGCGACATAGGACCAAAAATCAATTTGTCAAACTTCCATGTATAAAAGCCGAAATGGATAAACCATATACCTGGACCTATAACTTAAAACACAAATCATGCACTGTGTACATGGAGGGAGGAGGGGTATTGTTGTGATTGTGGGATGACATCACTGAGCAAAAATATGCATGTTTTATTGCAGCAAATATATAGGGATGATATAAATGGTGAAAGTGCAGAATCCGTGTAAAAAACACACACACAAAACAAATTGGCCATGTTTTTGGCTACACAAAATGACTGGACTTACCCCATTTGGAATACCAAGGGTTGTCTACTTTTAAAAATGGTATGCCATCATGGTGGTAGTTTTCTATCCTGGACTAGCAGTTACTTTACCCTTCAAAGCAGAATGCGCTGTTTTGTTTTTTTCACCCCTCTGAGTTACTGATTTCCCAAACCAAACTGATCAAAATTATCTTTATAGTTATGATAAAGCTTGTAGTGAAAAACTAAAAATAAGTAGTTATCTCTTAATCAGTTCACCAGTTTACAGAGGTAGAAAAGTGGATTGCAAAAAACAAACTCTTCCTAAACACTGACAAAACTGTCACAATGATCTTTGGAACAATACATAAATTACACAAATTACACAATTCCCACCTATCCGTCAAAACAAAATCAAATAGTACACTGACCGCAGTCTACTCTTTCAAATCCTTGGGTATGTTGTTCGACCCCAATCTATCTTTTGGCCTCCCCATAGAAAAGCTTGCGTCTAAACTTTATCCAAACCTTTATCCAAAACTAGGTGCCCTGTACAGAAAGAAATCCTGCCTAAGCCCTACAGTAAAGGAAAAGATTGTACAGCAAATTCTGATGCCAATCATTGGTTATGGGGATGTAGTATATGCATCTGCACCAGGGCCGTCTTTAACGCGGGGCAAAAGGGGCAGCTGCCCCGGGCCCAGTGGATCCTGGGGGGCCCAAGGCAGCTGCCTCTTGAGCCCCGCTGGCCACTGCCCACAAATTTGTGTCCCGAAGTTATCCTTCACCTTCACTATGCGAGCGGCATTGCCGCATAGTGAAGGACTTACTTGGTGCTCCGCCTCCCGACCTCCCCTGCCATTTGCGTATGCCGCGCACGATGACGTCACGCGGAGGCGGAGTCACGGCAACGCTAGGGTGAGCGTTGCCGTGACTCCGCCTCCTTCCCGAACTGCAGCGTGGCACCATCCTCAACTGCAGAGCGGCACCCACTCCAGCCCTGAGCCCAGCTTCCCAACTGATCCTGAGCCTGCTGGAGTCTTCAAAACTGTAAGTATTTACATTAGTTAGTTACAGTAATATATATTGTCTTATGGGAGTAAGGGTGGTTAGAGGGCAGGGCTCGAGTCCTGCAGGAACGCATGGGAACGGCGTTCCTGCACTTTTTCCATAGCTGGAACGCCGTTCCCGTTACCTGTCCTGCAGGACCGGCCCTGGTCCCTGCACTGAGGGGCCGTCACATGCTGTGTTCATTCTCCAGTTATAACTCTCGCGAGACCCGCGGCTGTTACCATGGCAACGCTCCGCACAGGCGAGTCTCGCGAGAGTTAGAGCTGGAGAGGGAACACTGCTTGATGGCCCCTCTGTGCAGCGAGCGGCTGGCTCCCTCCAGCATACCACCGGACCACCAGGCGATCTCCCCCCTCCCTGACAAGGTAAGAAGCAGGGAGGGGGGAATAAAATAAAAAAAAATATAAAGTTAAAAAAAATCCTCCCCCCCCCACACACATCATCCAGCACTCACACAAACACCCATCATCCAGCACTCACACAAACACCCATCATCCAGCACTCACACACACATCATCCAGCACACACACACCCATCATCCAGCACTCTCACACCCATCAGCCAGCACTCACACCCATCATCCAGCACACACACACCCATCATCCATACATCATCCAGCAGCACTCCACTCACACATCATCCAGCACACACACACCCATCATCCAGCACACACACATCATCCATACACACACACCCCATCATCCAGCACACACACACATCCATCCCAGCACTCACACACACACATCATCCAGCACTCACACACACACATCATCCAGCACTCACACACAAACACCCATCATCCAGCACACACACACATCATCCAGCACTCACACAAACACCCATCATCCAGCACACACACACACATCATCCCACACACACACACATCATCCCACACACACACACATCATCCCACACACACACACCAATCATCCAGCACTCACACACCCATCATCCAGCACTCACACAAACACCCATCATCCAGCACTCACACACACATCATCCAGCACACACCCATCATCTAGCACTCACACAAACACCCATCATCCAGCACTCACACACACATCATCCAGCACGCACATCATCCAGCACGCACATCATCCAGCACGCACATCATCCAGCACGCACACCCATCATCCAGCACTCACACAAACACCCAT